GGGTGCTCTCCGCACACCTTACAGCAATCCCGGCCAGTAAGAACGATGGTGCTTGTAGTAACGACCACGGATGGCACCGTGCAAAGTACGAAATGAAAAGACAGGTCACCAGCACTCAAATAATTTAAATAGGTATGTCCTTTTTAATGTACAATTGTGTCACGATAATCAACAAAGCCGACGTTTCGGGGCCGCGCACAGTCCCTTCTTTAAGGCAGAAAGATGTGAAGACATGGGGAAGGGACCCTGCGCGGCCCGAAACGTCGGCTTTGTTGATTATCGTGACACAATTGTACATTAAAAAGGACATACCTATTTAAATTATTTGAGTGCTGGTGACCTGTCTTTTCATTTCACAATTAAAAACACAACATTAAATATGTATGAATAGCATTTCAGGTTATGACTTACCTGCACAGCCAAATGCCAGGTGATAGCGAGAAGAGGGACTAAATTTGACACAGCATACATTGGCTTTGGCTTCAATACAAGCAACAGAATTATCCAAGTTGGTAGACCACAGCTTAACTGTAGGAGGAGAGAAGATAAAATAAAATAAACTGAAATGCAAAGCTTTATGTTCCTAAATGGGTAAAAAAGTAATTCAGAGGAATAGAAGAGACAAAGCAGAAAGTGTAAATATTTGTGTTATTTATAGGAGAAAATTTATAGGATTACACTACACATTACTGAATACATAAAGGGGCCATTAAATTATCACCATTTTACATGAATCCTACCACAGCTCTATGACAATTTAGGTACACCAGTCATAAAAAAAGAAAGAAAAAAAAGGACTATCATTTTTTCAACAAAAGATATCTCTGCTGTGTAGAACACTCATTGCTGAAAAGCTACAAAGCCGAAAAACATACCCAACATCATGGCTTTAAGTAAACCTGTACTTTGCCTATATTGTGCAGGTTTGCTTCCAAGGAGGCAATGTAACTGGGCTTTGATTACCTTCCACTCACTGCACCATCACCACAAACTGCTGCTAAAGTTTGGATAAAAACCAAGAATTTATAAGTACAGGGAACAGGCAACACTTCTTTTACTTCACAATGCAGTGCTCTATGAACAGCAAATCACCAGGTAGAGCACTGTCATGCGGGAGTCTAAAAAGACTAAACAAGATATGACTTGTTTAAAACTTACACAGGGACTCTGGTAGCTCGAACAGCAGACCAGTGTGGCAGTATGGGCAAAGAACTGGTTTGCTTTACAGTCTAGTGTGTTGAGATCTTCAAAGTTTTGTGTGTCTGTTTTAAGCCCTCTGGTCTAAACAAAGCCTAGTGGTAAAGAGGAGTGGTGGGTGGGTATGCCATTAATAATTTCATATGCAATTTATCAAACGGTAAACTAAAATGCCGAAACCAACATATACCCCAAATATTTGCACTAAAGCCCAGGGTGGACCTCTGTCTTCTTGAAGGGTATATGACATTTCACTTGTTTGCTTTTAAACTGCTACATCCTAACCTTGCCGCATTCTCTTTTCACTGGCAGTTCTTTTTGAACAGATGGGTTACATAAACTGCCACCTAAGCCTAAACTTCATGAATTACACAACAAAATCACCAAAACAACTGATTGGATCGACTCATCTGTTCATCAGCACCACTGTTTTCCTTTGAATATTGCACCACAAAGTCTCAAATGACTTTCTGCTAAATTCCTGATCTCTCCTACTAGCCGAGGGTACATAAGGCCTCAATTTAATGTTTTTTTCATCCCATTGTTAATACGGTAGAACCCAAATACCTGAAGCCATCAGTCCCTTGCAAGTTTTATTTGCCAAGAGTGAGAGTACCTGTTTAGAAACTTTCGTCTTCAGACTGTCTTTCAGTTATTTTTGTTCTAGAAGAATTTTACAAATCATCATTCAAATGTATATGTTGCTAAAGCAAAAAATGGTGCAATGAGATGTAAAATCAATTACATTCCACATGTACTGTTTATTACCTGTGGTCTCTGATGTAGACCTCATCCACTACTGCTAGATGAGGTGTTCTTCAATTAAAGTTACTAATCACCAGCAGAGTGTTTTATAACTGGTGTTAGAGAGAATAACATGACCAGTGAGATATGCCATTGTGTTTTCTGACTCATTGACAAGGATCACCAACAGGTCACATTTCAGGTTTTCTAGGCACCAACACAGCCATGGTAACTTGGTCACCATTGTACACTACCTATGTAACTTGTAATCTTGTGAGATCTGAACGACCAGACGAGTCTGGTCGGTAGGAAAAACAGGTTCTTCATATGTAACCTGTGCACAACTAGGGTTATAGCCAACAGGTCTAGGGGTACACTACTCATGGTTAAAAGAATTGTAAAACGGTTATAACTTTTTTGTGAATTGGATTAATTTAAAGGAGAACTATGGAGGTGAGAGTGACTTCCACTCATTCTCATAGTTAGAGCCGACCTGTGACAAAAGAACCTGGGAAGTGAGCAGAAAGATGCACCAATTCACTACCATCCCGATAGTCTCCCTCCAGTGATCCCCCCCCCCTCCCCTCTCCGATCCTCCAGCGCTAGTGGAGGAACTGATAGGGGAGGGGGCGGGCCCAGCTGGCTCTGTCTCTAGATAGGAGGAGCCAGCTGTCACTCACGCAGCTGGGTAGATCTCAACAGTATTGTCAGGATCCGTCCCGGCTGCCGCGCTCAGTATATCGCAGGCAATAGCCCACTATATGCTGAGCTTTGGGTCAAAGGACGAAGTTAGTATATGTCCTCTTATGACCCTAAAGAGAACTCTGGAGAAAAAAACACTTACATAGTTCTTTTAACTCCAAAGACTATGCAAGAATATAAGGAGGCCCTTAGAAAACTTGAGGGCATCAGCAATTACTGCACTTTTTGGATACCCGGAGATTCACGTGAGGTTGTGGGAAACATCCAATGCTACATAAAAGGTATACAATGCATTAAAGTGGAGAAACGCTGCTCTAGAGACTAAACAAAGCAGCAAAACTGCACACAACACTTACATCAGGGTTCAGAAACCATCAGTGAAAGCATCAAAACCTGAATCCTACAGGGACCGGAAACTTTAGAAGTAGATTGGAAAAATATTGAAGGTAAACCATTAAAATGAAATAGCCCGATGACATTTGCTGATCACTTGAGTGACAATCCACATATCATTTGTCCAATAAAGACATTCCTTGATTACATCTGTGTCAGGTAATTCAGTTCCCTCGCTATACCACAGTATATTGGCTTTGTCATACTCATAGGTTTGTTGCTGGCAGCTGATCTCTAACCTCTGATTACAAGTCATGAGTAAATATCCAGTACTTGGAATTATGATAATTTAATTCATATACCAATAGAATACCGAGATCCCGAACGAACAACAGATGTCAAACAACTTTCAACAGTCAATACTGCTGAATGTCAGGAGCGTGATTAACATTCAGGCGGCATCAACATACATTTACCTCTCAGAAGTAATAGACACGAGCTGAGCTCCTTTACTGAGGTAATAGATAACACTAGACAGTGAGGTAATAGAAAGCACTATGGAGGGATAACTCACATCTCACTAGATATACTTAACTAAACAATGAACAAGTCAGCCGTGTGACAGGACACAGCTACCCAAAGAAATGTGTGATAATAAGTGATACGCCAATCAGTCTTTATATTAAAGCAGACCCATCATATGAACCTTAACGATCATTAATATTACAGCCAGAGTAAAAGCCAGATTGCAAAACACGGGTCTTTTCCAAAAAAAAAAAAGTCAGCTGTAAAACTCTACCAGTATTTTCATGAACGTGAAAGGTTGTTACAAACCTATATTGCATGTGAACATGAAGGACCAATCAAAGATAAGGAGTATGCTGGGGGACTGCGTGCCAGCATAGAAAATTACAAGGAAGCCAATAAGTAGGCTTTGTGCAAGTGAAAGGGCTGTCTGCATACTCATGAAAACATTTCATGCAGGCACTAGTCAGTAAAACTGCTGCACATAAGATACTTGGAGAACTATGGGGTACTATTTTTTCCTTATTATTGAATTCCTTAGGCTAAAGGAGTAAATAGTGTAATTTACTGCTATAAGCCAAAATGCACCCTAAGCTTGTGAACCCTTCTTTAAGAAGGTGGGCGGGGCTAAGTGCCACAATGAGGAGAGATCCGGACATGACAGTCTGGATCCTCCCCACTGGTCTTAGTCACTGTGACCGTGATTCTTGAGAGCTGCTGCGCGTCCATGAATATATGGACATGCGCAGCAGCTCTATCCACACAGCTCTCTCCTTACCTGTACGTCCCTGTCCTCTGTGCCAGTCTTCCCTTCCCCTCTCTTACTCTCTCTCCTTCCATGTGTCACGCTGACATCCTAATCACTGGGGATCGCTGAAGAGAGGGGAAAGAGGGCTCTCTCTTCATCATTTACCACATCTAGGCAAGTCCATATATGGTAAATTAGGTCATCGGAGATCCCTGCACACTGGCAGCGATCCCCAGTGACATAATTCACCATATATGGACGTGCTCATATGTGGTAAATGATGGAGAGAGAGAGGGCTCTTTCCCCTCTCTCTCTCTCTCCCTTCCCTGTGTCACGCTGACATTCTAATCACTAGTGATCGCTTATGAGAGAGGGGAAAGATCACTGAAAATGCAGGGAGGCCGAGTAAGTTAATTTCTTACTATTGCCACTGCCTTTTCACTTGAGACTCCGCCTCCCGCTCCCAAATGCCAGAGTGCACGCTCTGACAAAACACAGCTGTCCACGGAGAGGAAGCGCAGGCACAGCAATGGGAGACTTTGGAAAAAAAAAAGCTGAGGGTGGGCTGGATCCACTGTTATTGCCCCCTAAGAGGGAAGGAGCTTGGAGCAGAGCTGCATGTGGCTGTTTCCAGTGGGTTTTGATGATTTTATCTGTGATGTGCTGCGACTTTAGAAAAAAGGAAGAATCCTAATACATTAAAAAGGTATGGAATATTTTTATTTGACCATATGTCATAATTCTCCTTTAATCTTTCCAGCAAAATTTGGGGACCATACAAAAGCCAATATTGTCACATGACCCAAACATTTTCAGATCTAAAAAAAAAAACACACAGGGAAGACTAGCATCTGCAATGTTGGGGTTCTCGTAGGCTGCTGTTAGCTCACTAACCAACATGTATTTCTGACTCCCAGGTTACACAGGACACAGTTCACAGAGTCCTTCTCCCTTGCACCACAGTCCAGCTCTCCTCAGGAAAGTCTCCAGTTGTAGTTTACTGCACACCATGCAATCAATTAATTGAATTAACAGGCTCAGTAAAATCCTGTTGTGTCACTTGTTCCTTGCAGCACCAAGGACTATAGGGAAATCCCATTTGTACATCGGAAAACCGAAACCATCAATCGTTTCAAGGATTCTACGATGGACAGTAATCATCTTGGACCGCAAATATACATGCCAGAAGCATAGTTAGAACTTCCAACAATGTCTATGAAGGTTCTCATTCATCCAAGGGGGGTGAGACATCTATTGTCTGCCACATACAATGCTGTTT